CCAGGTAGCTCAGCAGGTGTCCATTTATCATTGCTAGTATTATGGCACCTATCAGCTCTAGCCAGGGTCAGGTCCTCGCCGTACTCAGCACAATACAACAAAATGAAGTGGCAGTGTATTGCAGAGCGTATCTCAAAGTAAGGGACCTAAAATTATTTCAAATGGACAAAATTGGCTGATTTTGATGGAATTAGGATGCTACAGTGGATACAGTAATTTGAACAGTGCGTTTTAAGGGCTCTCATTTTAACAAAGCTGCCTAAAAATACACACACGCGCGTGCACGCGCGCGCACACACACACACTTTTGTCTACACCTTTGCACAAATTCTCAATATATATATCCAACATTTTAGCCAACAAAGACCATAATGAATAGTTTCTCATCTGCTCAAAGACAATGAACCTACCTTCCTTCTCCTAATTTAATTATATTACATTCCCCCGTGCGCTTTGTATTTTTACAGCAGTATGAATGCTGTAAGCTGGAGATACCACTACAGATTCTCACAATTTTGTCACGATTCCCATGATATTTGGTGGGGTTTTTTGCCTTTTTCTCATTAAAGATATTATTTAACTAAAATTAAAACAAAAAAAGCTACACTTCTGGTTTGTAAGGTGCTGAGGAAACCCTTGAAAATGCAAAGCCTAAGGTCTCAGGAATACAGGAGGCAAATGGGAGAAATCTTCCGCAAAATCTTTTTTTTTTTCAAAAAATCTCAGGATACTGAATACCTAATTGACAATTTTGAAAGCTTAGATTTAACAATTCTTCCTGTGATTCCGAAATGAGTAGTTGTCATGTGGTTTTTATAATGATGGACACGGCTAGTTTTACATGTCACCCAGCATCCTGGGACCACCCTTTCCCTCCCCTCTACAGGTGGCCAGGCCCTGATGCTGTAATTACGTCTGCAGGAGATGGCCACAGCACTCAGGTAGGCGCGGGGGCACAATATATCTTTTCTCCCTTGTGGGTCTTTCATGCAGGCAATGACAGGGGAAAACATTCTTTTTAAAGCAAAATAATTGTAAACCCACAAAATCTGGCAGAAAAACTCAAAGGAGGCGTTGTACCAGAAACTTATTTTCTGTAAACTAAATATAAAATTGACTCCATCAACTTGAAATTCTCACTTTCTCTTAAATTTCATAAAATTATTATAAGCTAGGAGTTGGGAAAGTTCCACAATTTACCATCAACTACAGCAAGCTGCTTCTGAAAATAAATCCCCAACTACACTGTGTAAGGGATAACAGAAGTAAGAAGCAGAGATGTGTTCATGAATCATGGCTTGAGTTTTTCAAAATCAATAATTAGCAGAACACAGTGACCCAACAACTATTTTTAGTGCTGTGTATTCAAAAAGTAATTTACGTGCAGATATTATTAGGTGCATATTTAATTTCAAACCACAATTACACAAAGTTTTAATTACTAAATATTAAGATACATTTTAGCATATGGCTTATGATTAGCATTTGTAATTCAAGCTATAAGCAATACAACTAATTACATTTATTGGTGGAACTTTACTTCCCACACATGTTCAATCACTTTCAATTATTCCCCTAGTAATCTATGACCCAGCAAGGTACAGAAATTGCGTGCCTACGTTGCAGTAACTGGGTAACAGTTTCTGTGCATTCAAGCATGATATTACCGACTCACCCTGTTTTTCTTAACATCTCGCAATCACAGACATGCAAAAATGTAGATTAAAAAGCTGCAAAGACCAATAAAAATGCTAGATGCTGTGGCATGTATTTGAAAACTGCAGCCAAGTTTTACTGGTTTGTTTAATGAAGGACTTCCAAACCATAGCCTGATTTTTATGGTGAGATGAGATTTGGAATGAAGACCAGGTTTGGCCACCAAAGGTTTGTAAACAAGAACGCTCCTCCTTTTATGGCATTATTCACACGCGATGGTCACGTTTGCTCTCTTTTCACCTTGAGTTTCCCACCAAAACGCATGTCCACACCCTAGCACTGGACTTCAGAAACCTGCAGAGCAAAGGGACGAGGCAGAGCAGAGTTGCTTTTCCTCCGCCAGCTCCCTTAGCAGCTGCAAACAAAGGGGCACCCCAACGTGTCCTGCCCCTGCAAGGCTGAACACTTCCCCACGCTGCTCCGGGGGGAAGCATCTTAAGCAAAGATCCGGGAGCATCTTCTCATGTGATGGCACGAACGACCACGAACGCGTCTCTGCTTAATATCGGGTTTTGTTGGGTTTCTCTGCTCAATGCCAGAGCGTCAGGTTTTCATCGAGAGCCTTGCACCATGACGAAGTGATGAGCTGGGGGGATCTCTGTGGCTGAGATGATTGCAAACGATCGGGACAGACCTCGCAGCACTGAACATGCAAAGTGAATTTAAAAGATACGCATTGAAAACGCAAATGTTTTTGGACTTTTTTGCTTGTTTTCTTTTTCCCTGCGGGCACAGTAAATTGCAGAGGGCCCAGGCAGAAACCTTCACTCCAGATTAAAGCCATATGCTTCACACTGCTCTCCTGTAAGGGGCATGGATGCAGAAGGAGCAGCTGTGAAACAGGTCTCCATAACTACTGTAACCTACAATTTTATGAATCAGTTGACCCAAAATTCTTGCATAGCAAGTGTAGAGGTGGTACGGTTGCTATATGGTGTAGCTGCTCTATCAGCCTCATCATCTCCCCCACACAAAGCAGGAAAGAAAGTGAAGTGATCGAATATGTATTTGTCATAAGACAGTAATTGCCCATCAGCTGCAATTTTTTTTTGAGCTCTTTGCAATTACTAAGTGCCATATGGATATAAAGTTGAAGAGAAAGGAGATCATAACAAAATAAAATCTTACAAATTAATATTGTGATAAAATAGGTCAGGGTTTATTTCAATGATATCTGCTTCAGTGTATGCATTATTTAATTAAAATGCTTTCAGTGGAGCTCAGATATCAAACCACCTCTACCAAAACCAGGTGTTAATATCCTTTGATTTTTTAAAAAACAATTGGGCTACATTAAATATACTTCTCAGGTCTAGTTTTGCATGACAGATATGTGATGTGCCAATGGTTATATATTATATTCTTCCTCTCAGGCATGCATCTCCTGCAGAGACAGCAGACTACAGAAGCTGACCCTTACTGAGACCATCTTGTCTCTCTGACAAAGCTCCTTTTTAACTTCTTACTTACTGGTTGCTTCCTGTGATGGATAAAAACTTTAGCTCAGCTTGTGATAATTTCACAGGCCCTGAGCACCCTGACCCTGGAAGCCCCAAGGTCAGAAGTCAAGTCTTGTTCTGAAACATCTGTGTGCTTCATATTAAAGTAGAACAAAAGTGAAGAAATATCCACCAGTGTGACAAGAGAAACGGGCAAAATGGGAACGACACGTTGGTCATCTGTTACCCATGCCACTTCAAGCCATTGACTGAAATGTGATGGAAAAACTCTCCAAGCCTCCTTCGAATAAGCACTTTGTTTAGGAATCACTGAGAAAGGTCTCCAGCCGATTTTTATTCCCGCCCTGTGCTAAGCGTATGTATCTGTAGGCGTCCGGCAACCCAAACAACGTGGCTTTACAAAACCTGCAGAAATTCTGCTAACGCTTCACTTTGGACAGGATGAGGCACACCAGAATAACCTGGGCTGAAACACAGGGCAGCTGAAAACCACAGCTCAGGAAAGCCAAGACAGAAGAGATGCTCCCTACCCTTCACTGCATCCGAGGAGCAACAGGCACATGCAACGCAACCCGTTTCTTGCCCGAAGTTGTGGTTATAGAAGGAATTACTCATCTTCACTAATTTGGTGTCTTAAAAGTTTAGTTTTGAGACTATTTACTGACCTGGTAATAAAATACCTGTGGAAAATGATCAGCTGAGCTGTTCTCAAGTCTCAAATCTGTACACATCATACATATTTTAAAAATACTCTTCCGGAAGCACAGGGAAAATCAAAATGGCCTTAATTTCTACAAATGAAAAGGGTTAACAAAAATCTTAAGTTCTTAAAATAATACAAGTGGTCCTGCTCTGGATTCTTCTTGCTACTCAGAGCAGCACAAGATTAAAAACAAAACACTCATGCATGCATGCTGTTTCTTAACTAAGGCATTCATCTCACGTTCAGGCAGGAACCACTTTTACTAACTTTCAGTTAGACTAAACTAACGTGTTATAGACGAAAGATGTACATACACGTCTGCTGATTCCTGTGTCCACAGAACCAATTGCAATGTTCTGCAATTTACATTTCCACAATAAACAGGAATTTTTTTAGTTTTCTTCAGTAAAACACAATTAAGTGAGGAGACTATAGCTACACTCAAAAGAGTGGTATACAAGTTCAACAGGCAACTTTGTACACCAGATGGGGTCAGCAAATTTGCCTTTAGATAAAAGGGTGAAAGGCTGACAAACTGCATGTTCAGCAGTCCCAGCATCAGGGGTAGGGCAGCTTTACACTGAGCAGGGTCCTCCCCACCTTATACCACTGCAGGGTTTATCCACAGCCCAATAAATGGCAAAAAAAGTCTTCCCAGCAACTTCCGCAGACCTTTGTGGAAAAACTGCGAAATTGGGTAAACCCGCCAAATGTCCCCTCATGTTCAGTTCCAATCTATATACAAAACGGTGCATTTGTTAACGTGACTTTGCTTTAAAACTGTTCTTACACGTTCTCAGTCTTTGCCTCCAGTCTTTCTGCCCCAGAGCAGAAACTCACTGGGCGCTGCCTTTCGGTACACAGCCTGGACAAGGAGGATCCAACGCGTTTTGTTCTCCCACTGTCTCTCAGGTTTGTGCACACTTGGGACCTTATTTTCTAACTCAAAACCAGAGAAAAATGCAGTGACCTTGCAGCTGCAAAGAAATCCTCACGGATCTGTATCTGACCATTGGTTTAAAGCTGCTCCTAAAGGGCTGCTTTCAAGAATGTGATCACAAAGAATGTAGAAAATCTGTGAAAGACTTCAGGAAAGAAGGCAATGGAGAAGTCACACTTACCAACTCTACAAAGGCAAGTCCACCATAACTGTGAGCAACAAAAAACACGTTCTCTGCAGCTGACTGGGAAATAAAATGGTCCCAAACATAAATTGCATGTTCTTCAGGAGATCCATTATCCTGCAGAAAGAAATTATGTTTGCGACAATTACCTTTTAAAAACTGGCAATTCTGTCTAAAAGCAAAGTGTTCCTATATGTTAAAATGTTTTGTTAAGACAAACCTCAAATGAATATACTCGTGTCAAAAAAAGAACAGATTCGTTTGTCTAAATAAAAGAAATTTAAGATTGCAATTTAAAGGCAGTAAAACTGTTGCTTTATTGTGGCTTATTTTAATAAATACAACAAAAAATTATGCATCTGCAAAATTTTGTCTAAATACCACGATGGCAATTCAGCTAAACAGAGGCATTCAAAGAAATTATGAGCCACTACTCTGATTTTCATTCTTTTGACAACTCTTTGTCAAATGTTTGTTCACTGCTGGTTTGTTTAAAGTAGTTAAGCCTTAGTCTGATAAAACAAATAAAAACAAGTAGGAACAATATCAATATAATTTTAGTCTTTACAGTTTTTTTCATATTATGGGCCAACGGAAATCTGCCAAAGATTAAAATTATGGCATTTGCAACTACTCTTTTAAATGCTACTTTTTGCAACCGCACACAATGAGATACAGCGCAGATAAAACACCTCTTGACTGCTTACACATTAGCCATTATTTCAGAGTCTCTGGTAGTTAGGGGAGTGCTTTTTCTTATTATTGAACAAGAATTTGTGAACGCCAGTCAATGTAAGAGTCACTGAAGGCACTGGGATGATATACACTGATTTTAGTGCACTTTCCTCAAACACTGGGGCTGTGCACTCCCACCTCTACCTTAGAGGCTCTCAGAAAGCCCTGTACCCCTCTGTATTTTACTTATTTCTCAGGTTGTCCATGTCGGAACTACAAATCTGTCTAGTCTCAGGTGACAAGAGTAAGATGCTCTGCTAGCTCCCCTGTCCCGCCAGGATTTCACATCTCTAGCACAACACTGCAGGCGCTTTCCAGGCTCTCTTGTGCCAGAAAGGGCTGATCAGTCAAGGTCACGTCATTTACTAAAATTTGCATCCCTTTCCCCTTTGCTCTGCTCCACCACCAACTTCATACCCCTAGGTGACCCAGACGCAGACCACAAAAGCCTCAGTTCCTTGGGGAAAATAAAGTACAAACCAGCAAAAGCCACTGGCAATCAGAAGATGTTAATTACATAGTGTGAATTACTGTAACTTTACCAAGAACACTAAAGTGATTTAGGTCTTAGTCCCATTCTGAAACTCAGTTTTGGGAATTTAAGCTCTTATGAATGTCTAAAATCAATGGGAAGACAGATGTCCTGGTTTCGGCAGGGGTAGAGTTAATTTCCTTCCTAGTAGCTGGTACAGTGCTGTGCTTTGGATTTAGGATGGGAACAAAATTGATAAGGCACCGATGTTTTAGTTGTTGCTACGTAGTGCTTACACTAGTCAAGGACTTTTCAGTTTCTCGTGCTCTACCAACTGAGAAGGCTGGGGGTGCACAAGAAGCTGGGAGGGGGCACAGCCAGGACAGCTGACCCAAACTGGCCACAGGGATATTCCATACCACGTGACGTCATGCTCAGTATATAAAGCTGGGGGAAGAAGAAGGAAGGGGGGGACGTTTGGAGTGATGGCGTTTGTCTTCCCAAGTCACCGTTACGCGTGATGGAGCCCTGCTTTCCTGGAGATGGCTGAACACCTGCCTGCCGATGGGAAGTAGTGAATGAATGCCTTGTTTTGCTTTGCTTGCGTGCGCGGCTTTTGCTTTACCTATTAAACTGTCTTTATCTCAACCCACGAGTTTTCTCACTTTTATCCTTCCGATTCTCTCCCCCATCCCACTGCGGGGGGAGTGAGCGAGCGGCTGCGTGGTGCTCAGTTGCCAACTGAGGTTAAACCACGACAACAGACAACTAAATAATGTGGTGGATTTAGGCTTTTACTTCTATTCTCATGCCTGAGTTCCTAAATAAGAGTGAGATGGCTACAAATCTTTATGGATCTGGACCCAAAGCTTTTAAAACAATTATGTGCTTTTAAAATTTTTTCCTCTAAGGTAGCAGCAATTAAAACATATTTATCAAATTTGCCAAAAAGCACTGAAGGTATTCTCAATCCTGGACAGATTCCGCTCTTGATTGACTATGACAGAACATGGTTCTAACTAATTATGTATCAACTATTGTAAACCACCTCAGCGTGAGAAAGGGCCTATTTTCTTTCAACCCTGTTTTGAAATTTGATTGTAGAGATAGGTAAAGGAGGTAAGACTCCTCCCTTTGTGAGGAAAGAGAGAAGTTTTTCAAAAGAAATTTCATGAAGAAAATATGATTGACAGAGCAGTTATTAAGATAAAGCTGAAGGACAACTTGAACTGGAGTTTCCTACAGAAAAGTGATGTGCTCTAATTATGATACATACGGAAAAGGCACAGTAAAACACCAGGAGAGTTTTAAAATGACTAATTTATCTAAAAGATTTATTTTAGTTAAATATTCAGAAGATATTTGTTTTTAAATAATAATATTACCATTAATTCTCATAACAGCAATTTTTGTACAGGTACATAACCCTCATTTAACGTTCTGACAAAAAGAAGAAATTGTTTCTGGTTAATATTCCATTTTCAGGCTTCCACAAGACTAAGACAGCAGCAAGAAGCTTCTGAAGGATTAAGAAACGCAGCCCGAAAAACCTTCCACCAATTAAATCATAACCAGTGGTCTAGTAAACCAAATCATTAACTGCACAGCTTCACAGTCCAGTACAAAGGCTCAATAGGATTTTATAAAAGCAAAAAGAAATGAGCTAGAACGAGTTAGATATAGACTGTAACTACAGTTTCCTTTGTTACTGGTGAAAAAACCCTATAAAATGTCAGGATAAACTGTGTTGCTGTACATACTCTGCTAAACCCTAAACATGGTAAGAAACGCACATATGTGCAAGAAGGAGTTCGGAGGAGTCGTGTATGTTTAGAAGAAAAGCTCTTTCTTCAGAGCATCTGCTTATTTTTTCCCCTTGTAACAAGCCCGCATGTTAAACAACTCAGGCGGAGAATAAACTGGCGCCGTGTCCGTACAAGAAACATCTGGCTGCAGGAGCGGGCACCGCCGACTGCAGGATATGGCCGGTCTCCCTAGGATTTCAAATTGCGCTGGGTCCATGAGGACCCAGGGATTAACCTCCTCTGCCTGGCCTGGGTTAAATTATGAGGCTGGATACTGCAGTTTCAGTACGAAAGGTGGCAGTTTCAGGCAGCTGTTGCTTTCCTTCTTTTCATTGCAGCTAAATACAATGCACTTATACACCACCTTGTTAAATTATTTGATAAAGTGGGGGCCTCTTAGTCTGTGCAAGTATCTATATGATTGCACAGAAGGGAATGGAGAAATCACGCCATGTACCTCTGAAGGAAGCTGAGGCTGAATGCGTTCTCATTTGTGAATCAGACTGAGATGGAAAGATGCTGGGAAAGCCGAACTTAAATTTCCAGCTGCTGAAAGTTGCTCGTCTGTAACCGGTAATTCTACATCTAAATAAGCAGTCTGATTTTTCAGAGGTGTGGAAGTCACAGCTGTGGGTCTTCATCCCTCTGAAAACCTGCCCCCCCCCGTAATTAATATTAAAAAAATTGAGAACCACGTTATGTGAAAAGGTCTCCATGTGACGCTTAACCAATGCGAAGTAACCCCAAAACAGGCACATTGTCAGGTGGCACCAATACTGGGGTGGGGAATGGAGCACCGAACGTTCAACCTTCGCCTGTGCTCCCATCACGCAAAATCTTACCTGCCTCCGGTTTTAATGGAATACTATCAGTAAGATTTACCCTTTAATTCACTAATAAATGAAAAGACGTCCATGTCTTTTTCCTAATAACTATTGTACTGTAGTCCTTTTCACTGATAAAAATAGAGCGAATATACCTCATTTGCCACCAGTGACTACCAATGCTACGGAGACGATCAGATATTGAACACCTGTCATACCTGCATGCAGCAAATCCCACTGAAGATTGCCTTGGAGATAAAGGTGGCTAAAATAATTTAACACAAGTATTGCTGAGGTATTTCAGATTGCTGATGTTGTATTTATTCCTTTTCCTGAATGCTAGAGGAAGCACACATTTCTGGAACCTGCTATAAAAGGGGCATCCATGAAAGTAATATAGAATATAAGTAGCCAGGTATTAGGTTCTGATTCAGTTAATGACAGCAGCATGGGGCTAATCAAAAAGATGCTCTTGCCACATGGATATACTCCTTTTGAATGAGAAATGATCATCAAGCATTTGCAAATAGAATGAAATTTTATTTCATGTGGAAGAGATGAGTATTCACAAATACTGGTTTAAGAACAGATTTCTTTTGTTAGTGATAAAAGACTTTTTTTTTTTCCAGTATTTTTTAAACACTATCTCCTAACTATGTATAAAAAATGCCTCACTTTTTAAACCAAAATAGATATTGCTCAAAAAATGATCATAAATGGTTAATACGGAGCTTTTCATTTTAATATCAAAAGTTTAATCAACTAGTTTAATAGTACAGTCTATGAAAATAATACGGCAATGATTAATAAATTCATGTTCCTCATATATGTGAAGCTACTTAATATCCCAGGGCCAGAACCTCTCCTACAGCTAAGTAGCCAGGTATTAGGTTCTGATTCAGTTAATGACAGCAGCATGGGGCTAATCAAAAAGATGCTCTTGCCACATGGATATACTCCTTTTGAATGAGAAATGATCATCAAGCATTTGCAAATAGAATGAAATTTTATTTCATGTGGAAGAGATGAGTATTCACAAATACTGGTTTAAGAACAGATTTCTTTTGTTAGTGATAAAAGACTTTTTTTTTTCAGTATTTTTTAAACACTATCTCTTAACTATGTATAAAAAATGCCTCACTTTTTAAACCAAAATAGATATTGCTCAAAAAATGATCATAAATGGTTAATACGGAGCTTTTCATTTTAATATCAAAAGTTTAATCAACTAGTTTAATAGTACAGTCTATGAAAATAATACGGCAATGATTAATAAATTCA